CATGAAACTTCTCCTTATAATATCCAAACATTATCCAGCAAACGGGTAATGAGAAAACTCAAATGTATCGGACAGTAGTTGTTATTTTGATCCAACATCAAATTCTCGTTACTAATTTACAAAGAAATATGCAGGAGCTTGAGGGGAGAATCAACAATTTGATCTTGGGAGTTAAAGGGTTAGTTGATTTGCAGTCTTGGTTAATTTTCAAGTCATCTATTTGATGTTTTTTTTATCTGTTTCCTTCAGTGTTGTGTCTGCTCTTGTGGCCCCTAATATTGGTTTCCAGCTTCAGTACCAGCTCATTTTTGTTCTCTGGCTGTTGTCGTTTGATCCAAGGATTGTGGAGCGTATGATTGGGTAATGAACATGTAAAACTTAACATTTTTTGTTTTAACACTGAAGCATAGGTAGATTTTTTTAACAGGAAGGGTAGCACACAAGCACGTCTTTGGAATTTTGGAGGATGCCAAGATATTCCATGTCCTAAAACCAGAGTTCACCAATAGCTTTGGACCCTTTCCTCCTCAGTTATGCTTATGCGATAATAAAGGTAAATCTTTCACTCACTGAACTACAACTTGTCGTAATGATATGATCATTTTCTTTTACAGAAATAGTGCTGTTATTCGTGTGCTGGCCGACATTTTGAGAGAATCAGGCAAAGAGAAAGTGACACGGATTATTATTGCTGCGCTAAGGGTAAGTTTAGTGAAGACGGTTTTCGAGTACGGTTCATTTCTTTGTTGGATACTGCGGAGGAGACGTCGGTTTTTTTTGTGTTTCAGGCGAGCGGAGGCAAGCGCGAGGAAAGTTTGCGAAAAGCGCGAAAAGAGCGTGAGAGGCGAATGCGCGAGTGGGGGAGCATGGGAGGAATTGCCACTCCTTCACTGGCGCCTGACTTGCCTTTCGTGTACTCTCCACGCGCGCATCTCACGCGCGCATCTCACGCGCGTCTCACACGCGCGTCTCACACGCGCCCCCACTCGCCTAAAAACGGAGCAGACAACTTCTGTCCAGCACCTTATTTTGAAGCGGGAGATGCCTGAATTTAAGATGAAATAACTTTGTTTGTCGTGTACATGCATCATAGAGTGTTTAATCTAACAGGAAAACTTTCTCTTTTTTCAGAATTTGTTGGAGAAACCAGAGGAGAAGAAGAACGAAGCAGCATTGTCCATGATTCAATGCAAGCTTCTTCCTGTAAGCTGACAAACTTTGAAGTTTTTTTTTTTTTCGCTACTCTATCTTTATTTATTTATTTTTTATTTTTCAAGGAAACGAGTATTTCAACCTCAGTCCTTCTCTTTTCTAACATTGAAAGGCTTTTGAGACCCGAAGACGTTTACAAACGAATCCATTACTAACTAGATTTCCCAGATTTGTCGTTGTAAACAACAAGTTACATCTGGTTGAAATCAACGAAAATTGAGCCAAAACAATGACTTGTTTAAAAAACGGAAAAATAGTCAAAGTGTCTCAGGAGAATTAGATGAAATTTGCTTGTAAATTAGAGCGTAATGAGGCTACTATAGATAATCTAAAACTAGGAATGAAAGAAATGTTTATCGTGCCGTAAGAAAGACAGTAATGTATTTTCTTGCGCTTTTTCGCTGGGCTTCTTCTTTTCTTTTCTTCTTCTAAAATGAACAGTGCTTATGAACAGGCAAACGAGATTGGCAGGCATTCCAGTTAGAGATAAGTAAATGTTCTGAAGCGTACGAATCTTAAATATATATATATATATATATTTATAAACAAACTCGTGTCCCTTTTTTTTTAGGTTCTTTCAGTGTTGAATGGCAAAACTTGGGTCGATGAAGACATAAAGGTGTGTGTTTCACTTAAGTTTTAGAAGTGTTTAAACGGTAACATCCCTTAACAATGTTTATGTAAAATTCAGCAAAGAGTTGATGCAGATGTGCAAACTTGCTAGTTAGAGGATTTTATTGGAAATGTATGGTAACTATTAGGAAGAATTGCCAAGAGATCTTAGAAGGTAGAGGCTTACGAAATTATGTGAGATTGGGTAAATGGGCGAGAATCAGCATGCAGGAAGTGTTCGGGTGAGGTAACCAGAGTTTATTCTCAGATGTAAAAATCAAGAACAAAAATTAGAAACAGATTAGATGAAAAGTGTCCACCAGTCTTGAGTTACCGCCGAAGCGATGGTGGTTAAGGTGATTGCAGTTGACCCTATACGAGAAGGAATTTTGGAAATCTCAGCCAGCATCGCATCCGTTTGGTTGATCGCTCAGCCATTGTAGGTCCATATCTCATCAATTTTGGTAATTGTTACATTGTAAGCTTCGGAAAGATTTGAGAGAAAATTTACTTCCGCCGGAATTGAGCTGTATAATTATATGTAATTCCCGTCCTCAAAAAGGTTTTGTTAAACTCTCAGAAGTGATTAACATGCAACTTCTCCTTAAAATATCCATTCATTAACTACCTAACAGGTAATGAGAATACTCGAACTTATCAGGTTAAGGTTGTTAACTTGATCCAACATCAAATTCTTGTAACTAATTTACAGGGAAATACCTCGCAGCTAGATGTAGTAATGTTGTAGTTTGTTTAGTAATACCAATTGCAGCCACAAGGCTGGATTACAGGTACAGCGCAACACCCTAATTAACAATACTGTGTGCATAACGAAACGTTACAAAATCTTTAAACCTATTAGTATTAACAATAACCTTGTGTTGAAGCTGGTGCCTTAGATTGTATTTTGATTCATTATTAACCAACAACCCCTCACATATGGGAAGCAGTGGGTTGCCAGATTTAACGCTTTTCATGAAATTGACGCACGACTCAGCCCTACGAACTTCCAATGGGAAGATGGGAGAATTTACAATCAAATCTTGGGATTTCACGTCGTATTTCTTATTACTCTTCAGGAAGATGTGGAGTTTGTGTATGAAAAACTAAATGAACGTGTACAAGATTTGAGGTAAGAATCATTCGCTTGTCAAGATCATCACATTTTGCTCTGGTTTTTGAACAGATCTCTTTTTTTTCTCTCTCTCTCGACCCAGTACCTTTGATGAATACGCTGCTGAAGTTAGATCAGGGAGACTGGAGTGGAGTCCAGTACACAAATCTGAGAAGTTCTGGGTAACTTACTTTTCATTTCCAAGTAATTGAAGATGGCTATAACAGTTTCACGTTTTTCACTTGGCTTGATTTTAATACTTTATATATTTTTCCTAGCTTTTCCTCTCTGATTCCGTTATGATCAAAATTATATTTCTCATTAACGACAATATTTTAGAGCAGCACGTTTCTAGGAACAGTCTTTTTGGTCACGCGCACCAAGTATCTATTAAAATTATTGTTTTGTTTTTTTTGCAGAGAGAAAACGCTCAACGTCTAAACGAAAAGAACTACGAACTGTTGAAGTAAGTTTACAACATATCTATCATAGATCTCAGAACATCCCTGTGTGAGGTGTGCCCGTGGAAGCAAAAAGTGTTGTATGGTGAAATGAGAACCTGTGCAGCAGGGTGTAGTATCTTAGGTACTGTTGCTCCGTGTTATCAAGATATTACCACGAAACCTTCTATAGTCACCTGCGTGCAAAGGTTACTAGTCGCTGGTGGAGAAGAGTTATGAACTTATGTATTTGCTCTGATATTTTTTTCAAGAATCCTGACTAAGTTATTGGAGAAGTCCGCTGATCCGACTATTTTAGCAGTGGCGGCTCACGATACTGGAGAGTACGTCCGGCATTACCCACGTGGAAAACAGTAAGTTCGTTTCTCCATCCGACGGCTTTTCGGAGAATGTAGGAAAAGATATTCCGTTCGTCAGCTCTTGTAAGAAAGGAAAAGATTTGTCTCAGATTGTAATGACCAGTTAAAGGCATATTTTGGAGGTAATGCGCGGAAACAGGTGAATTGTCTCTAGTCCCAGTCTCCTTCGACCTACAAGGAACGCCTGTCACATGGTTTGTTGTAGCTGATGGGTGACTACTTGTTTTATTTCTAGCGTACTGGAGAATCTTGGGTGTAAAGTGATGGTGATGAAGATGATGACCCATAATGACCCTAATGTTCGCAAGGAAGCTCTACTTGCTGTACAGAAACTCATGGTTCACAACTGGTGAGTTCTGAGATGATTCATCTTTCTGATTGTTTCTTCTGTCAATGTGATCAATCCTTGAGGCTCCAAATAACGGGAAACGTACAAGAACCGAGGTTTTGTTTCGCAGTTTGACAGGAAAAAATTTTTGCTGAAGATTTTGTCATTGACTTTAAAAAAAAAAAAAATTACCAAGACAAAACTGAACAAGAAAACGTTGTGACGTGAGGGTGAAGTCTGTGTAAGCGGGTAATGCAGTAGAACGAGGTTCGGCTGTACCAGTGATGGTGCGGTGGAAAACTTACATCCACTAGTGAAACACGCATTGAAATATTGCTGTGCGTTCATAACTGGTCGAAACCGCGAGAGAACATGACGCTAGTAAAATAAAAGGTGAAAATCTTGCAACTAGTCTTTCAGTACTAATGTGTGTTTCTCTTCCCCTAGGGAGTATCTCGGAAAGCAGTTGAAGGCTTCCTAAAGAAAATAATTTAAATAAGTATGCAGCTGAAAAAGGAGACAAGTATTGTGAATTTTATCTGAATATTGTCAATTGAGTTGTAGCGGGACTAATTTTAGAGTCTCCTTCTTGGAAAAAAGTCACAATGAGCCGATAGAGGCCGAAGAAATACTCGTCAAAGCTGCGAACTGTTGATGATTGACGAGTTATTATCGATTGACTTCACTTTGCTCTTAGCTCAGTTCATCGACTCTGAGTGTATGCGAGGGTGAAACCTCTTTGATTTGGCAGACCTGGTGTCTGTTTTAAAGATGTACGAATAACCTATGAATATTGAATATGAACGAATGCAATATAATAAACGTTTCTTTTGGATTTTACAAATTGTTGGAAATTTCCACGTTCATTTGGGAAGGTTGCAAACTGAATAATGAAGAAAAATTATGTCGATATAATTTGAACGGGAACCCGAAGGACAGTGTGGGCCCAAACCTTTCACTTCCCTACGTGACTAGCATCTAATTTCGCCTTACAATATCACCCTGAATAAAACATTAAGGTCACGAGAATGCACGAATCAAAGAAGCTCTTGCTTGTTGAATGGAACACGCGCGAAATGTTTCAACGTGTTCGAGGAACTCTAGGTCGAGTTCATGAAGTCCAGGCATTTTTTGGATTTTTTTGTGATAAATTCTGATCACCAGAGCCTCGCGCGAATTACCCACATGCGCGTGCGACTGGGGCCAATTTTCCTATTTCACCCAGGCGCTCACGGTCATTCCATCTTGGAAGCGCCTGCAGTTTACGTGTGATCTAAGCGTATGTGCGTGGCTAATTGTAGTGGACCGAGGAACTCGTCAAGGGAAGATTCTATTGAGATGTTCCCCTTGTTTGTATTTTTTCGATTAATTCTCGACGAAAAACAGAACAAGTGATGTTCACACATTCTGTTTGATTGAGATAATTATCTTGCAATGTCAACAAAAGGTCGTTAGCTGAATTCAGAAATCGTCAACTCGTTAATAATTAAATTTATGTTTTAAATTATTTCTTACCAAAACAATTTTTTGCTCGGTAATTTTACGATCGAAAGAGTTCTAAAATCAGATGGCTTGCGACCACAAGGATTATAGAAAATTTTTTTTTATCCACCATAGCTTAGCATGTCTTTTCCCCATTTCACTCCCATTTCAGAATATCAATTATTAAACGCGAGGCATTGAAACTCAGAAAAATAATAATTTGCTCATAAGTTAGTTTCCATTGAATAGTTTTCGCCCAAATAATTATGCAAATTGACTTTCGTGAATTGAAAACATACATGAAAATCATTTACTTTTTGAGTAATTCTTCAATGAATGTTTTCAGTAAATGCACTTTCACAGCTTGAACTGATAAAATATATTCAGCTCCGTGCTGTTTTCCACTTGAATAGCGACCCTTTTTTCATGAATGTATATTGTCTGATGCTCAGCTGTCTTGTAATGACGTCATATGATTCTTCCCATGCTGTGACGAACTTAAAAGCCGTCTCCTCGTTTATAACTTTATTCAGCTTGCTTGAGTTTTTCCAGGAAAAATTTCCCTTAACGCTACGTGGTCAGACTGACCGCCCAGTATCAAATAAATAAACTGTAAAAAACGGCATTTTGTCAGCACTGTAATAAGAGTTGACGATGAAACAGCTGTCAGATGTAAGAAGCTTAGAATAAATACATTTCCCATTGATTCAAATTCAAATTACTTGGCAATAATCTTTCTTAATCTGAGACCGCAACCGATCTACATTTTACAAACTAAATTAATACGTACAGAATATCAATTTTACAATGAAATTATATGCTGTTAGCTCTTTTAAATTCAAGGTACAAGAAACGATTTTTTGTGTACAAGATACAAGCCTGTTACTTCCTACTCTACCAGCTTAACGTTTTGTCATTGTAGATAAAATAGTTTCGTTTTCATTTTGACGTTGTCAACTTGAGACTTGCTAATAAACGAAACAAATTCTGACCTTGCACCTGCTACTTGAGAAAATGCGAGATCTAAATCGAACCTTAAAAAAGAGAAAAACAGCTATTTTACGACTCGACAGAGAATTTAAAATTACAGAGCAGAACTAGTTGACAAAACCGTTCCAAATCGATCGCGCCGATCACTTGAAGAATTATAACTGTAATTTCTTTTCCTATTCCCTTTTGATTTTAAGGGGCATAATTTTTTGAAGGCCTTCCGAAATGGTGAATACCTCAATCCATAGACAATTGGGTTGCAAAACGAATTGGCAAACCCAACCCACATTGTCGTTACTAGCACATTACGAGGAACCTTCAGAGGTCCAGCAATTTTTCTGTATGTTCCAGCCGTGTAAAATGGCGTATAACAGAGCAGAAATATTCCAACAACCAAGGCGAAAGTCCCGGCTGATTTTATTTCCCGCTTCAAAGAGTGTGTTTCGACAGTTCTCGTTGAGTGTTGTGGCTCGCTTTCTTCACACATGTTTGCGGATGATTCGCGCAGGCTTCGTTCAACTCTGCTCAGCTGCCTTGCTTGTGTGAAGGCGGTTTTAAAGACAACAACGTTGGAGAAGAAAATTATTCCAAATGGAAAAATGATAAATAGTCCCACAAGGAAGAAAATATACACGGAATCTTCACTGGAGTCACGGTTGGAGTCACTTGTGCACCCATAAGTGTCTGCGCGGAACTCGAAGTCAGCTAGTGGTATGTTCAGAGTGACACTCACTGACATCCAAATTAGCAACAAAATTGTTAGCACTCTTCTTCTTGTAACTATAAATTGATAACGAAGTGGTTTCTGGATGGCGATATAGCGATCAACGCTCAGCAAACACATATGAAGAATTGAAATAAACGACAACGTGAGACCAACAGAGGCGATCGCACGACAGCAAAACTCGCCAAAAATCCACTTTCCGATGGCGGTGGTTGTAGCGTTAAGAATCATTATTGTTACCATTGTCAAATCAGTCAGCGCTAAGCTAAGCAAGATGAAATTCGTGTTTGTTCTCAGATGGCGGAATTTCACCACAGAAATACAGATTAAACCGTTGCCTACAAATGTAGCAATTATAATAAAGGTAAACAAGATCATCTGAACAACAACTTTTACAGTTCCGTCCTTTTCAGCAGCAGTTGTTTTCCCGTTTAACATCTTAGCAGGCTAAATAACCTCCTTCCAAAAGATTTCTAATCAGTTCGCCCTTTTTTTTCCTCCTAGTTTAAGCTTCAGTGCTCCGACCTGACAAGAAACCTATTTGCAACTGACGAATCACAGGTAACAAAGGAACAAAGGCAAAAATAAATGTAAAACAATTTTCATTTTGGTAATTTCCATGCATCAATTTAGCTCAATAAACACCTGCTAGCCAACGCTGGCTAAATAAATCATCGTTATGGAAACTGAAACACTCCGTTAATATTTTATATTTCCGTCTCTGAAATAGCTTACATTCAAGCTAAGTTCACAAAATTATTGCTTGAAAAGTAAAGAACAGCTCACAAAATAATGTTAATACCACGCAACCCCTTAACGTTTTCTTTCCGTTTAATCATTGTTATTGTAACACAAATATTTCTATGTCGTGCATAAAACCCTTCTGTTTTGTTTTGTTTCTCCGGTTTTCCATTTGCTTTTTTTAATCATTTGAGTGCCATCGCAAAGTGGTTGTATTTGAGAACGAACACGGAAAGCTGTACGCAAAATGAAAAAGGTGTTATATTCCGGTTGCCAATTTCTTTGTAGAGAATACGCCAGGAAGCCTTAGAGACAATGCATAGAATACTTTTAATTAAAACTAGACTGTAAGACTGTCATATCTTGCCATTCGAAAAATAAATTAGTAGCAAATTCAGTGAAGTGTTATTGTAGCTGAAAGCGCTTCCGCTGAAGCAAAGCGTAACCGTTACATGACGTAATATTCTGAAGTGTAAAGTCCTTCTTAAATAATAGACTGTTTATGGAGTTGTTCGTTTCCATTGTTAGCAGTATATAAAACATCACCTCATGCATTTTAAATTCAGTGTAAAAACACTTCTATTTGACGCCAAGAGCAGATTATGCGATAAAGTGAAAATGTGATTTAGTGTTTTGTTTGAATAAACTCGATCTGCGGGCGTTAAGACTGATATTAACTAGTTACAATACAAATAAGCTCATTACAGTTAAGCCATTATAGGCAGCGACGTTTGAACGAAATGCAAATGATCCAATATTGTTGATGTACGCCTTGTTATAGCGCATGTCAATAAGCTGTCGTAAAACCAAAACAAAAGAAGTCACCACAACCAATCAGAGCAAAGAAGAAAAACCACATGCAGCCAATGAAGTAAAAGCAACGCAACTGCTCGAAGCGCGGGAAGACGCGGGTGACCAAGTCGCGATGATTGGTTGAAAAAGTGGCGCGAGTTTACCGGACCAATCACATTTTGAAGTAGAGAAAACCCAACGCAATTTCCAATTCACTAAATTAATTTTCTGCCAAAGTTATATTATTTCAAAATTCTGTTAATAATTTGGAACTAATCAATAATGTGTATTGATAATGGTATAGGACTGAGTAGAGTCCTATTCGGTCTGTAATCATACGAGTGATTTGTCAATCACGGGTATGATTACAAACCCAATTGGACGACACGAAGTCCAGTCGCCAATTAATCATAACCGTTGCAATTTCCTGTAAAAAAAATACATTTAGGATAAACATCTCCAGAAGAGACGATGTCTATGGTAAAAAATTCCTCAATTTTGGAAATTACACAGTTTTTTTCCCTGGATAAGTGGTTGTTGCCATGGTTATTGTGATAAATTCTGAGCTTAGCGGATTTAGCTGAGTGGACTAAGTATGGTTAGCTGCTTCAACTGTCCAATGACAGGTGTCCCATTACAGCCAACTGTCTCTTTACACTGACCGATTACAACTCTACAGAATGATTAGTGGAAAATAAAGCAGCTAATTCACCAATCACATTTGAGGAAACCGTAATGGTTATGAAAACAGGTATTACCTCTTTGTAGCTTCTCAATGAAAAAAATTCACGTCACGTACCGAAAACGTCGTTTATTTTATATCACATACAATGTGAAGGAAAATAGAATATATTTCTTACCAACAGTGTAGTTGAGGTTTTTATAAATATTTTTGGAAATTTCGACAACATCGATGTCATTAATAAATAAACTCACACTATTTACGCTTTACTACTTCTGAGGAAACATACGAAAATATATTTAAGCTGACTTAATTCAATACTATCTCTGATTTTGTAATCAGTTCTCTTTTTCTCTTTTTAACAATAATTTTACGAAAACATTAGCTGCAGTATGTACCTGAAAGACATCCTCTTAGAAACGAGCAAATTATTTCTTCTCGATTTTAAACTGGGATCTTTTTAGTTTCTTTGACGACTTCTTCTTCTTCTCCTTTTTCACCTCTTTTTTTACTGCATAAAGATAAAAAAAAACAATGGTATGAAAACATACGCCATAATTTCTGAGCCTAATTGTACTGAGAGAGCTTGTTTGGCCGGAGTTAAAAAAACTTGCCCAAACCGGTGAAGTGTACTCCTCGCGTAGACACGCGTGCAAGTTACGCTGCCTCGCGTGTTACCAGAGTCAAAACGAATGGGAATCGTTACCACCACTGTCTGCAGCATACAACGACTAAGACTCTGGCAAATTTTGCGAGTAGTCCTCGCGAGGTAGCGCGTGTAAGTTGCATAGTCTTGCATGCTTTTACAGTCAAAATTAATTTCACTAGTGGTCCTTCTAGACTGGGCATTTGGCGCCGAAAACTCTCGCGTGTTTCACAAGTAGTCCACGTGAATTCCAGTACCAGTTCAGCCCATGGCTAGTCCCGTGAGTTTTCAGAGCTTATCCGTTCTATTTATGGACAACACAGTCAACAGACCAGTTCTGAGGAATGGAAAGGATATCTGCACGCACAAAATATGCGTATGAATATCGCACAAATTACATAAATTTTTTTCTCTTCCAATTTTTCACGCGTGATTCTACAACCAGTGATAACCGAGCCTGTCCCAGTCGTTCCGTTAGTCAAACTGTGCACTGTAATAGCGGCAGAGCGAAAAAAAGCGAGAGGTTTGGGTCGGGTCGAAGGAAGGAGGGAGGCTTAGGACGAGTCGCTTAAGAAACCCAACGGACCCATATTTCTCTCCTCTTTTTTTCGACCCGACCCAAACCTCCATCTCGTTTTGCCTCCGCCGCTACTACATCTTCATTACTTACCTGGGCTTGGACTTGAATCCATAAAGAAGTCATCCTCTTCATGGTTGACTTTTAGCGGTAGTTCCTGATCTCCAGATTCTATCAAACATGACAAGCAAAAAATTATTAAAAATGGTTTCCGAAAACGCTCTTCCTTTGGGAAAGAACTCAGTATCTATTCTAAAAGAACACGCACAAACATTCACCATATTAGTATGTTTCATCACATTTGCCAAAACACTTAGTTGTCTACGCGCTGAACCGCAGATGTAGAGGTCTGGATTCGAAAACTGCTCAAGTCATCGTGTTGTGACCTTGTGACAAGACACTAAACTCTCACCAGGCCCCTCTCCACCCAGAGTTGTAGATAGTTAAGTGGGAGAGCGCTTGAGCGCTTGGGAGGTTTTGTAGGTTTAAGGGTTTTCCAACTAAATATATACAAAGTGCTCACAGAAGTTATGAAACCTGGGAATAATCAAGATTTTAATTTGCAATGCGGAGAGCTATGGCTCTGCATGTGCAGTTTAAAACTTAATGTATCTATTGGCAGTTGCGTTTGGAACTCAACACTGCCTACCCTGATGAGAGGGTAATTAAACCTTTAACTCCCAGATCAAATTTGTAATTCTCCTCACTGTCAACCATACAATTCTTATAAAGTTAGTTCAGAGAATTTAGTATTGGATCAACTTATCTTCAAATCGATATTTTTCTTTATTCTCACCACTTATCTGATTGATATTGTATAGATATAGTAAGGAGAAATTCTCTCTTGGTCACTCGTGGGAGTTAAAGGGTTAAGTATTATCAACTGAGTTGATTACGTAAATTGGCCACCGTAAAGAGTTTAAAAGCTAACGTTTCAAGCATTAGCCCTTCATCAAAGCAATTGACAAAGGACTGATGCTCGAAATGTCCGCTTTTAAACTCTTTGTGGTGACCAATTTACCAAATCAACTCAGTTGATAATACTAAATTACCCTGTTATACTCTCCCACCGACGCAGCTCCACAGTTTCTGCAGAAACTAACCCCCTCTTCCCCAATGAGGTCTGGCACTGGTAAAGAGGATGACCTCATGGAGCCATTGCCGAAATTCTACACAAAAATGAAAGTTCATTTCTTGATTCAACATTTTCCTTAGCATCACCTTCCTGACTGCTTAAGGTCCATAATTAAAGGAGCTCCACATCTCCCATGGCAACCATCATTATTAACACAACAAATTGTTCCTCACCATCTTCACTGCCTCTTTTTGTAGCAGCTCGTCCAAATTCTTCATCACTCAATACCACATTAGGTTTTTCCTTTTTTGCTCTTTGAGATGCTTTGCCCATTTTCCAAATTGTACTGGATGCATCCTCCAACTCACCAGCTTCCACCTTCTTTGCAATAGTTTCCTGGATTTTTTCTGCAAATTGCATAAAAATAAAATCAACTAAGGTTAAATTTTATGTGGATCAAACTTGAATCAGGGTAAAAAAAGCTATGATAGCACTTGTTTTACTTTACTCTGCTTGGTGGTTTGTACATAAAAATTGTGCCCCTCTCTCAACTGAAGAGATACAAAACTAAAACACTCTCTTGTGTTTTTCTGTGTTCCAAGCAATTTGCTTGTTGTTAATTTGCATTCTCATTGGCACCTTGTGATATTTTCCCTTAATCTGATTGGTTGTTGTGATAATTCTGGGCTGGTTTTGCCAAAGTCATTCTTATGAGCTAGGTTCATGTTTGTTCCAGAGGGATATGTATTCTTTTGAACATATAAATTCCAGGATTTTTCTGCAGCTTTTTCCACACTGATATAGTAAACATTATCCCAATATGTAACTAAATCATAGATAACTGTACCTTGTTTTGCAACAATTTCTGCATTAGTATGGGATGTCAGCGGAAATAATGAAATATACTTTGTGTTTTCTGGAAAATGCTACAAGAAGATAAAACAGTGTTAATTGAGCAAAAGATTATTTTCAAATTACAATAACACCACTTTGACAAGAAGAAAAAATGACACTGAAATGTGGTTCATTAACATGATGGTAACATGATCTTGGACAGCCCCCAAGAAAAGACAATGTTACTTATATACCACACAGGTGTATAGTGTTTTTTTATCCACATTGATTGGCTGGTTGAGAAGTGATTGGCATGTATTGTTCACCTTCAAACAGCTAAATTTATTAATAATTTCTGACCATTCTTTGGTATATTGATGGAAATAAACTGATTTTTTTTATTTCTGTGTGGTTTATACACAAACAATTATTCTAGGTACTCTTGGGAGTCATAGGTTACACCAGGTGCTTAACTCCTGAACTCAAATTTAACACTGCCAAAAACAAAACCAAAACCAATTCAAGAGGAAACTAGGACAAAATTAAAACATTTTTTTAGACAAATTTTATCAGACACCACCCTTTGCTTACTTGAACATAATTCCACTGCTGCTTGATCTCCTCAAGTTCTTTCAGAGCAGAATTTCTACAAAAATTTAGATCAAATAAAAACATTTATATTTTGCAAAAAACCTACGTTAATGCATAGAACAGAGTTGTAATAAATTCTTCACCTCTTACTTTTGAAATACATAGGCATTTCTTTTTTATCATTGTGTCTTAATTCTGAAGTGAATGGTGGAGTAATGTGTTATTGTGTATAACAGGGTACTTTGGTATTATCAATGGAGTTGATAATATAAATTGGCCACTGAGTTTCAAAAGAGTTTCAAAGCTGACTTTTTGAGTGTTGTTCCTTTGCCATTTGCTCTGACTAACCTTGTTTCAATATCCTCTGCATCACTGAGCTCTTTCATACAAGATTTGAACCTTCTAAAGATCTTTTTTTTCTCTGAAAAGAGAAAGAAAAAAACAAGAAAAAATTTAATTTTTTTTAATCTGAAAACAAAAATATTACTAGTAGGATCTTTTACTTAATTTGGATACAAGGTGTAAACCATGGATAGAGAGTAATGAAGTGTTACTAACTGAATTGAAAACATAAATTGGCTTTAAAATTCAACTCAGTTGTTAACACTAAATTACCTGCTATACTCTCCCACTGACACAACACCAGAGTTTCTTTAGACCCCCTTTAGTCATGGATAGAAAGGGTGGCAACTTATATCTATGATGTTAAAATAAATAAAGACTTCTACTTTAATTGGTTTCTGTTTGGAGGGAGATGCAGGGGCCTTATAATTAGTGCACTGGACTCCAGGTCGAGCACTAACCAGGTCATTCTGTTGTGTCCCTGGAGCAAAACAATTTGCTTTCACATTTTTTTTCCTCATCCAGGAGTATATATGGGTACCAGCCGACTATCAGGTAAGTCTGGTGAAATGCTGAGGGGAAACCTTGCAATGGACCAGCATCCCATCCAGGGGGGAGTAGTTATAATTCTAGTCTCTTCATACAGATCAATATCAGTATCTGGGCAACTGCCCACCTACCCCTCCCCTAACCCAACATTAACCCTAACTTGCTATCAATTGACTGTTGTTGAGTTAGGGGAGGGGTAGATGAGCAGTTGCCCAGATACTGATATTGATCCCTTGATGCTACAGAAACTGCATAAGCTCCTCCTTGGCTCAAGCACACACTCTTTTTTTTCTTTGGTTTGTGCAAAATAATGCATTTTCTTTTCTCCTCATGATTTTTTCTCAAAATTTACTTCCAATTTGCATTCAATAAAGGTGTCAGAATCACCAACCAAAGAATTTGACTTTTTTAGATCTTTTTTCAATCCTTCTCTGCTTGTCTTCTTTTGCTTTATCTTTAATTGTCTCTTTTAGGACATCAAGCATGCGTTCCTGAACAACTCTCACTGTTGCTGGAAGATCACTCTAAAAAAAATTGGAAACACCAAATTAAATTTTTAAAAATTTTTCATTCAAATAAGACTTTTCTTTCAATGTGAAGCAATACAATAGTCTACATTATAAAATAATTCAAATAGTACGCGTGCTCTGATTGGCCATAAAACCATTTTACATGAGCGTATGTAAACATGGTTTTCATTCCTCTTTCTTTAGTTATTTTATAAAAGAAATGTAAAATGGTTTTTGTGTTTACATAGCCTGATGTAAACACTTGGGAGGTTGGGAGAACACTTGATAAGCTAGAAACCACTCCGCTTCGCGTCGTGGTTTCCTACGCTTATCTTGTGTTCTCCCAACCTCCAGCGAGTTTACATCAGGCTATGTAAACACGGAAACCATTGTACATTTCTTCAATGGAATTGGTAGTTGTTGAGAATACATATTTTTGGTCTTTTTTTGAAGGATGGGAGAGGTGAAAAGCCAGTAATCTCAAAAGCCAGGGAGTAGAAAAACTCTGGGCTTTGATAGAAAACGGTAAAACTGACAAATATAAATGTCCTATGTAATTGTAGGCAAAAGGTGTTTGCACGCCTTGTGTTGTAGCTGTGGATTTTGATGTCTTATTTCCCCTTACTGCATCACTTATGAATCAAACATTTCAGTCATGAGAATTAAGAAAATGATCATTAAACTTGCCAGTACTTGTCAAACCTCCTTGTCAAATGCATAGTGAACAGTATGGAGAATGATGAAGCATACAAGTTTACTGCTGTGACTGCAGCGACCGTGAGCTTTTTTTGCGTCTCAATTCATCTTACAATCTCGTGGTATAAGGCACTAACTTAATGTACGAGAAGAAACAAGATCACTGGAACAGTACAGAAGACAGAACGTAACTGCAACGAGCTTTTAGTTTCTCTCTTTTTTTCCAGGGCCTTCTGTGGAAAATTAAGGCTTAGCGGTTTCTCTTAATGCTGAACACTGCTGAACAAAACTACCTCAAACAGCTGACGAACAAATTTAATGAACACGCTGCAAATGACATCTAGAATGTATTTGTTCGAATATTCGAGTTGTCTCACCTTTTTAAGCAGTCTCTGTACGTCTCTGACCTTATTTTTAAGGGATTTATTATGTTTGATCTTTTTACCATCGCCTTGCGAGGCCTTTGTGAGACGGTTTGATCCCTGATTTCTGTATCGTGGACCCATGATGGCCAACACTGCTATGTTGAAGGAAAAATGGGCATTTATAAGGTGGCGACGTGAAGCACAACCGAGGAGTACTAAAAACCAGTTTCCGAGTCGGGCGGTCCTCGGAAATTGTCGACAAAATCTAACAGTTGAACGACGTTGATAACCTACATGTATATATTTTTAATTCAGCTAACATGTTAAGACTACAGGGTAAAGAGTAAATCAATGAACTGTTTGCTACATGCAGGTAAGCACAACAGAGGCGCACGCTAAGGCACGGTGCCCGCGATATCTAAGTCAGCGTTTACTCGCTAAAAATTCGTTTCGAGACAGCTTCGACAGATCTATTGTCCGAGGCGCTTCTGCAACGTCTCGTCTGAAAACCACGGCCATTAGCCGTGTATGAAAATTAAAATAAGGACATTTAATGATCTCCCAAGTGAACTCTTCACATGTCCTATTAGGTATGGAGAATGAACACCACGATGCCTTCAACATTTCAAAAGGAGGCTATTGCACAATATCCTGTTACGCCAAGCTCATCCAGGTTACAAAAGACCAGAGCGTATCGATATACATTGGGAGGAAAGAAGATTGGCAGCAAAGGCTAAATCGAAAGATTTTCAAAAGTTTCTTGATACGTGGAAATTTAGGTTCGACCGAAACGATAAAATATCATTGATGTTTTTTTTCTACACAAATTCTTTCTGTTGTATTCTAATATTAAAAACTGTGAATTTTTCAAAAGATGCGCATGTTTCGTTATAATGGAAAATGGACGTTAAATTGTCTATCCCGCGATAAAGTGATGTGGTTCGCCGCTGTTAAGGCGTTTTACTCGCTTGAGTTCGTCCTCCTTTTAAAAATACATTTTTGCTTGTCTTTAAACAGAAAACTTCCCCTGAGCGGAAGAATATTCTCGGTGTTGAAACAAAAATATTCGATAACTCCCTTTCTTAGCCGCAGAGAAAATAAAACCCACATTCGCTGTCGCCCAATAGTGGTGCTTATAATATCTGATTCAGCGGTTACTTACTAGAGCGATAAAGAAGACGACCCCTCCCCTCCCCTCTCATTCTCGAAGTGCACACTTACTTCCGTTTCCTTTCTGGGAATCGAAAGCCCGAAGAACTCCTGAAGTTAATTCTTTTACAAAGTTAAGTCGAGAAAACGGATTTTACTTGCTGTGATTGTTTTAGTGGATGCTTCGGTGCCGTATGTTCTGGAACCCCTTAATAACAAAGCCAGAAGTCTCAAAGGTAAGCTAATACTTCGCACTTTGCCACCTTTCGACAAAGGCCTGATTACATAATGATGGTAGTACGGCGCTGTGCGGAAATATTGCCGAAGATAAGTGCTGTTAAACACACTTTTGATTGAAAATTCTTATCTACTCACCATTTTGACAAGGCCACACAGGCAATTTTAAAAGCAAGTGAAATAATAATAACTATATGCACTACTTTTTTTGTTTTTGTTTTTTAATACCGTTACCATTAATAATAATAATAATAATAACTTTATTTGTATAGCGGTATATACAAAAGCTCTATATCGCTTTACAATCAAAAAAGAAAAAAACTCTACACTACAAAACTTCTACACTTATGGACCATTGTCCATAAGTGTAGAACAAAGCAGACACCACCTTATCTTTTTTATTTATTGCATGACAGATTTAGTGTCGGGACGCAACACTAGAAATATGTCTCAGTTAAACCTACCTAAATGCAGATTATCAACTGGCCAACACTCTTTCGCATTTCGCGAATATAACCTCCTTCCAGGAAACATTTGAAGCACAAACGATATTTTAAGTTTAGAAAGGAAAGTGGCCCATTTTATCAGAAACTCTTCTTAAATGGATCTTTTAACCTTTATACGAAATTATGTTAATTATTATCATTATTACTATAATTTTTTGTGTCTTTTTTCTTTGCAACACATCTAAACATTCTTTTACCTATTGTAATTTATTATATAAATATTATTGTATCACGACAGAATAGCCTCGTATAGGGGGGGCCGTAATAATAAAGGGTATTGTAATATGTATTGATCCTGATGTCACGCAAGCAGAAACTCGTTTAGTGAATTGTTGTGTGACATTCAAAAGAATTGCTTTGAAGGAGACTATCAATATAAGGAAGAATATTCAAATCAGATCGCCTTTATCAGACACTCAGTTGCAATTCCATCTAAGAAAGATGGGCTTCTCTTGGTTAGGAGTGTCTGTATGTTTACAAACTCGTTTGTTTCGTTAATTGCAATTACATCTCTCAGTTAGTACGTGTGCTATTCTCGGTCAATTTGACAGTACGTATCTCACGGTACGCCCGCTGAATTAAAAACTTTGTTCGAATTGAAATACTCCTCCTCTACTTAAACCCAGAGAGATAAAAAATATCTTACTAACCTCGTTTTCCAGGCCTGTTCTTAAATTATAAGTTACGGAACCTCGCTTTTTCCGCTCGATCGGATTTAATTAAGAGGTACTGATTTACCTCCCTGCATTTGCTAAAGGATAGATCCTTGCCATGAAGATTTAAATACAAAAACGTGAGCTCTTGACAGATTCAGAAGTATTGAATTTATACCCACTAAGAATAGGTTTCCCTGATAGAAAATGCATGCACCAAATAAGAAAACTCTGTGAATACACAGACATCACGATTATCGCTATCGTTCACTGCCATAGATGTCTCCTAGGACATTGTGTGTCCTGAACGTTTCCAAAAACCATGCGTTCTTTTTGATAGAGCACTAATTTAAGTTTGCTGTTTTAAAATATATTTTCAAACTTAGATATCGCTCGAATTTGCAACCCAGGGATAGCAATCCACCCTCTTGCGTACTGGAAGATTGGGGGATAAAGCAATGGAATTGGAAGATAAGGTTAAAAAGCTAAAAGAAGAGTTCCAAGGTTTGCCAAGGCCTCTCTTTCGAGCAATTCTTTGCAACAATAAAGTTAATGGGGACCTAACAGCAGCTGTTCGGTGCTTACAACAATTTGAACCAAAGAAAAATACCAGGATGCGCAATCTACCGGCGACAGCCGCTGACAAGGAGTTGAAAAAGGGGTTAAGTTGCACCCCCCTGGATGGACTCAGCCAGAAGGAAAACAACTGGACAGGAGAAGGTAAAATAAAGCAGCAGAAACTGCCCTGATTTTAAACTTTAAATGCTGTATTATTCGACGACATGCCAAGAAAATTCGCAAAAGAGGAGTAAAGTGTTAAGTAGTCAGCGTTTACTAACTGAACTGAGGATGCAGAAGTTCCATAATTGCAACATTTCGTTCCAAGGACAGTGAGTTTTTTTTTATTATACTTCACAGGGAACAGTAAGAGGTCAAAACCACAACCATCAGCTCCCTCAGAACGATCAATAAAAACAACGCCATCGTCACGATCCAGCAAGCCAGCACCACCACCAAAGCCACAATCCGCTCGATTACATTCACAATCCAGCATACCACGCCCATCTGTTGCACCGAAACTAAGATCAACTCAGTCACCGCCACAGACCAGTAAACCACCACCGCCTCCTGTTGCTCCGAAACCACGATCAACTCAGCCACCGTCACAGACCAGGACCGGTAAACCACCCCCGCCACCTGTAGCTCGGAAACCAAGATCAACTCAGTCACCGTCACACACCAGGACCAGTAAACCACCACCGCCCCCTGTAGCTCTGAAACCACAATCAACTCAGCCACCGTCACAGACCAGGACCGGTAAACCACCCCCGCCACCTGCAGCTCCGAAACCACGATCAACTCAGCCACCATCACAGACCAGGACCGGTACACCACAACCGCCAGCTGTCGCTCGGAAACCAAGTTCAACTCAGTCACCGTCACAGACCAGGACCGGTAAACCACCCCCGCCACCTGTAGCTCCGAAACCACGATCAACTCAGCCACCGTCACAGACCAGGACCGGTACACCACAACCGCCAGCTGTTGCTCGGAAACCAAGATCAACTCAGTCACCGTCACAGACCAGGACCGGTAAACCACCCCCGCCACCTGTAGCTCCGAAACCACGATCAACTCAGCCACCGTCACAGACCAGGACCGGTACACCACAACCGACAGCTGTTACTCGGAAACCAAGATCAACTCAGTCACCGTCACAGACCAGGACCGGTAAACCACCTCCGCCACCTGTGGCTCCGAAACCACGATCAACTCAGCCACCGTCACAGACCAGGACTGGTACACCACAACCGCCAGCTGTTGCTCCGAAACTACGATCAACTCCATCATTTTCAAAGTCCAGCAAGCCAGCACTACCACAAAAAACAGAATCAACTCAAACACCCTCACAGTCTAGCAAACTAATACCACCACCTGTGGCACTGAAACCACAATCAATTCGATCGCTTTCACAGTCCAGCAGGAAAGCATCATCACCCAAACTACAGTCAGCTCCACCACCTTCACAATCCAGCAAACAAGAGCATCCACAAGAGTCAACTCATTTACTCTCACCGTCCAGCAGGCAGGCATCACCACCAAATCCAAAGTCATCAGGATTTGCAAAGCAAGGAATCGATTTCAAGCCGGAAGCAGGTAACACTAACTTTCGATTAAAAAATGTAAAAGCCAAGAAAGTCAATTTGCGGAGTCTGTAATCTACCGCATTGTTTACAGTTCTATGCCGTTGCATTTCGGTGCAGCCACGTCTTGGCTAGGTGTACTTCACCCAACTTATAGTTAACCCACAGGTAGTGTAAAAATTATTTTAATCCAACTGCAAATCTTTATCACTTTGGGAAGGGTCTTTGTTTGTCCTTTAAATTGACGATTATAGTGCCTAAGACCTAAAAAAAAAAGTTATTCATGAAACCTAGACCTGTTTGTGTAAATCAGCCCTCCATTAATGTAACATATTAGGTTTGTGTCCATAATAACGTTCTTGCGTGGTAACTAAGCAACAATCACGTGATGAGATGAGAGGCGAGGTCAAACAAATAGCTTCTTTTTCTCAAGATAGGCTCTCCGTTGAAGAAAGAGCCAGTTTCCAACATTTAAGAAATCTCACATAATAGCCGTTACTTGACCAGGTTATCATAGTGAATGTGCTTTCATATGCAGGTGATGCATTGAGCAGTGGGTATACGCCTCGAGACGGCCTCAATCAATGTGTTGAACAGGATGAATCTGCCGGGTTTGCTGTCGGAGACACGGTTGTTAGTGATCGAACAACGCCATGCCAGTTGTCCAATGCTCTATCACCACAGGGTAGACCAACAGAGCTGGTCAATGAGTTAAAGAATATTTTCTCGTCGGGTTCGAAATTTGCCGGTAAACCGAAATATTTAGTCCCAAACAACAGTGATATGCCAGAAAAACGACCGATGACTAACTTAACCACCATAATCGAGGAAACTGAGACCGAAGAGACAATGCGAATAACCGACCCGCCGGAAAAAAAACCGAAACTGAACTGGAGGCGACAGCGAGGTAACAAACAAATCAGAATAACCTTCAACAGGCAGTAACAAATTAGGGGCTACCTTTTGTAAACATCGATTACCATGCTACGGGAAGTGGTCCTCGTTTATCCCCTAAAGATCGGAAAGAATTCTCCTCCACCTTTCCGACTAATCTGGGAATATTGATCCTGTGAGCTGGGCAGTAATTTTTAAACTTTTCTTACAGAAAACGACGAGGACTGCATGAAATCAGCAGGACCCCCACTCAGTATATCTGAGATGAATCCAAGATCACTTCAAGAACGTTTGCTGTCACATCCATCACATGAGGAGGACTTTCCACCATCAACGACACAGCATAAGCAGTGTAATGAGCCCCTTCCACGAGCTCCGAGGTCGTCGCCGCTACCGCTAGCTTCACGTCCGCCAGCTATGCTAAAGGTACAACCAAACCTACAGCTACAAGTGTTTTCTAGTAAAAGCAGCCTAGATATAAACGATACTGTAACTGATAAAATAAAGAAAAGTGACGATGCAGCTTTGGAAAAATGTAACTTGTCGCTCAAAGCCTTCATCAAAAATAATAACAACATCCACGACAATGACGTCGCTGGAGATCTTGCGAAAGGCAGAAAACAGCCGCAGGATCCAAACAACTGTTGTGGCAATTTCACTGAAGCCCAGTTCGCCGAGAGGCTGTACCGCGACATAAGAAATTCCCCAAGCTGTCGTCCTGAGGAAAGAGGTACGAAAATGGGACGAGGAGGAGGTGAGGATTCTGTTATTTGAGTTAATGGAATCATCATGAATATTTAGGCTCGATGATGATGAGTTATTTCTTACGTAGATTCACTTTTTAACTAAAGCATTTTATCTCAAAGGAAACATTTTACCAGAAAACTGGACACCAATGTCACACGATAACGAAGGAAACGGCATCAGTGTTCACTTGGTAAAACTTGATAGCTCTTCACCTGAGTACCAGAAAGTCATGGATAGAATTTTAGAGACTCTCCATTCAGTTGATATCGTGAGTATAGAACGGGTACAAAATTATTATCTGTATCAAGCTTATCAATTGCTGAAGCAAAAGATGGAAACTGACAGGGGAGAAAGCAACGAGCGACAATTATTCCACGGCACCACTCCTGACAACACAAAGAAAATCAATTACTCAGGATTCGACTGGAGATTCTCTGGATCTGCACACGGTAAGCATTCTTTCCTAACTAGGAAATGGTTGGCTCAAATGACCACCACGAACCGCATAATATCAAGCCAAGCTTTAATAATTATTCGATTTCAATGGCGAGTCGTTACAACAGTCTCACTTTACAGGTTAGAAGATTCTCCAGATAAGGATAACAACAAAATAACTTCGTTCTCACTTCGATTATGCTGAGTAGAATCATTGGTGTATAAACTATACACTGATATGCTTTTTTAGCCCGATTAACGCCTGCATTTTGAGAATTCTTTCATACAAATTGGTGAACTTTTAATATACAAATGAAGGTCGAAGAGAAGGGTCTCCTTTGATCACGTTGGTATGAAAAATATTTCAATTGAAGTGTTCATATTTTGTCTGTGAACGAACTGAATACATTTTGTAACTTGTCGCGAGATAGGATTCCGTGAGCTACATTGTTGCAGGCGCAGCGCGCTGGACAAAATCTGTGAAATTTACACATTTGATCGCTTTCCGCATGGGTGATCTGGCCAAAAATCATTTTTGGCTTGTGGCCACACCAAAAAAAAAATAGAATTGGAGAACAACTGAACTATTTTTGACACATGTGTCCCAAACCCTTTTCATGGGCATAAGATAAAAGAAAAGTTTTTTTCCACAGGAAGTCGGCACTTTAAACTCAAAAGCACAACAAGTGTTTTCCGTTTTAAACAGCAAATTGTCCATTATTGTGCTGGAACCAGTAAATAATCTGACCGGCTGTAAGCACCTAAAATCGTACAATATCGGTCCACAGTAAAAGTACAGAACCAAAGATAACATATTTTGCACGAGGTCTTTTCTCGCATATCATGTGATTTTGTAACACACTCGACCTAACGTGACACATTACATAACGCCACACAAGCAGTTTTACAAAAGGCTCCGTGTCCTTCAATACCAATTCAAAATCGCACTAGAAATGACATAAATTATTACTCCCATTTTCTTCTTTTGCAGGAGCTATGTATGGTGCTGGAGTCAACTTTGCCAGGGACGCCTCCTATTCAATACACTACGCAACTCGACCCAGTGCTGGTCCTCATTGCGTTATGTATCTTGCCAGAGTATTGGTGGGTCGATATTGCTTAGGAAAAAAGGGCATTATGAAACCTCCCCCTGTAAATCCTGAGTTTCCGGAGATTCTGTTTGATTCCACGGTCGACAATCTGGCTAACCCTTTAATCACTGTCGTGTATCAAGACAGTCAGTGTTACCCAGAATATTTAATCACTTTTCGAAAAACAGGATGAAAATAAGACAAAATTCAACGAGGTCTTGGTGAAGAGAATTCATTAATTTTCAAAGTAGAGTAATCTTACCGGTAGACTCTTTATATTTCTTATAGCGTACGAAATGTGAAAACGTTACCTAGAACAGTTTAATTTGAAAGTTAGGATATAAATAATGCATGTCATGATATACTAAAAAGCCGTTAATTGAAAGACTCTTTAGTTTTAGTAAACGTTTAAAGTTGTCTTTCAGCAGCAAACTGATTAAATGAACGATTCCGTGAAGGTCTTCCGCTACTGTATTTCCCTTTTATTCTGAGTTTTCGCCGATTTACCGCACCGTCAGGAAGTATAAAGAAAATATTCCACTATGCGGGATATAAAAACAATGTAGGAGTACTGAGTAGTTATAAAATTTAGCTAGGACAATGAGTTGTCCAAATGTGGCGATGGAAAACAAAAAATAACGAGGCCCTATTAGGCGTTATCGGGATACGGAATATTTGGGTTAAAAAATTATAGGGATGAAGGATACATGAGGAAATAA